TTCAGTGTAAGGGTTACTTCTGTTTTGCAGTCAACATGTTGCGGAGCATTCATGAAAATATTGAATCGTGAGTTAAAATGGACTAAGGATCCTTATGAATGATTTTGGGAAAATATTTGCACACATCGTGGCTGAAGTAGGTAGAAAATGTGCCACCAATCTCATATATATATAAATGTTAGAGATGAGAGGCGCCTCTTGAAATGATCGCTTTTTATGTCTACTTGACGCTTGATCTAACTGTATCACGACCTGCCACGCCTCCCTCCCATTGAAACACTGTCAGCCACAATTGGCTGTCCATTCGCTCTGCTCCCCACCTCTGCTCTGTCACAGAGGTCCTGGAACTCATCTGCCTCCTCTCGAGCCGCCACTGCACCATTAGACACCCCTCCGACCTCACACACATCTCGACACAATAGCTCTGCGACTACCGCGACTCAATCGGCCTCTGACCGGCTCGGTCGGTCGTTACACTGATAGTGGCGCATGTCTCCAGTGGGTCGGCGGCCAAAGTGGCGCAGGACACTCGGCGGCGCGTCATTAGTGGTGTGCCGGGCGGCGCGCCGGCCCAAATAGGCTTGGTCCGGTAACGACCTCCCGGGGAATAGTCGGTAATCCGGGCTCATTGTGGCCGCGGCCCCGGAGACAGTCTTTTATTGTTGCTGTTGCGGCCCAGATGGACGTCATTTGTCTCGCCGCCAGAGTGTCTCGTCTCGATGTTTGGAGGCGCAAGCGTGTGGCTCCAACGGGAGGTCGGCCTCCGGTGGGACCTCGGGAGCGGCTACATTACTGCATCAAGAATGGCTTCATGCATCACTACACCAAGAGCCGCAACACCTCTACAAGCAACGGCTAAACCACCGTACAAGGAAGGGCTACATCAACACACCAAGAACGGCTACCCTCTGACCCCATCAGCAAGTCGCACAGGGCGGCGACTCGGAAAATGTCCACATGTCGAAAAAGGTGGCATCTCGTAATGCCCGCTGAGTGACAGGCTCGCCTACACACGACTGGCAGACAGCTTGGCGTCGTCGCAGTCCTGCAAGCACGGCACTGCGTCGTCGCCGTTGAAATCTCGAAGGCCCAGCTCGATAGAAGCGTTCGATGCTCGCTTCGTTCGATCGCGGCCTCGTATCGGATGGGTAGGTTTGACCTATCGAGCAGGTGGAGCGCCGCTGAACCATGACCTCGCTGACAGGAGCTGAGGGCCGCAACCATGCCGTAGGATCGGTCGGAAAGGTGCTCACCAGCACGGCCGAGGAATGGGCCCCGCCAGCACGACTGCAGGCCCCTGCAGTAGTAGGTATTAGGAAACGGACAACCGTAAGACAGCACTGGGATGCGTGTTACGTGAGCCATCACGATGCTTTTTATCGGAACACTCCCCGGATCTCCGGAGAGCTTCAAGGACTCTTGATGACAGCACTTGAGTTGATCTTTTACGTAGCACGAATGCATAGTTAGGTTTAAAAGTAATCGAATCCGCTTTGACAAACTTATCTTAGAGAATGGAGGCCACACGGTTCATGAGGAAGGATTTGATGAAGGGTGATCACAACAAAATAATGGTACTTTTTTTCTCGCATAAGAGGACATAAGAGACGATGCACAACAGCTGCGCCCATGAGCAATAAGCGTGTAAGCTTGGCATAAAAAATGCAGGACATCGTGTTTCTTTGATTGCCGTTGGAGATCATTCGAGAACGACGATGCATTGTGGATCAATCTCACCCTCATTCTGTTTCGCTATTTAATTTTTCCTTCAATTTCACCCCGTCCCTCCTCTTCCGTTTCCCACCGTATCCCATCCCACCCCATCCCATCCCGTGCCGTCGCGATCCTCTCTGGGTGCCTCCGGGTGCGCACAGGGCCCGGAGCCACTCCATTTGGCGCCATATGAGTGGCGGGCCGTCCATTTGGGCAGCCCACCGCCACCGGTCGGTCGGTCGGTCGCCCTATCGCTCCGGTGCCGAGTCACCGATGATGGAGCGACTCTTTATCCTCCGGGAGAGAGAGAGAGACAGAGAGAGACAGAGAGAGAGAGAGAGAGAGAGAGAGAGAGAGGGGGGGGGGGGAAGAGAGAGGGAGGGAGATGGAGAGGAAGAGAGAAAGATGAGCGGTAGTGGGAAAGAGAGATAGAGAGAGTGGAAGAGAGAAGGTAGATAAGAGAGAGGAAGAGTAGAGGGAGAGAGAGAAGAGTGAAGAATCTAAGAACGGTCTCATAGAACATTTACGATACCCACTAACAGCGCACCCACACCGGACCACGCCCACACCCATTTGACCACGCCCACACCCATTTGACCCCGCCCAGGTCAGGCGTCCTTCCACATCCTGAGCGCATTCACGCCCTCGCCGCGCCACTCTCGCCGCAAAGCTCGTCATCCGCGTCGAGCTCGCCGCGGCGGTCGCCGTAAAAGCTGCAGACACGGAGGGCCGATCATACATCATCGTTTGCAATCACTTTTCGCCGGCGACTAGCGGCAAGATCAATTTGACACACTACATTAGATCGGGAGCATTGATTCCGAGTGGGTGTCATGCCGGCGGTATTGATTGCGATTTTCCGGCGAGGCGGAGAGAGACGCGGCTGAGTTTCCTCACTCCCCGGCTGAGTTTCCTCACTCCCAGGCTGAGTTTCCTCACTCCCAGGCAGAGTCGCTTCACTCCCAGGCTGAGCCGCCTCACGTCTCCCATGGACAAGTCGCCACACTCCTCCATGCTCCAACGCTGAGTCACCTCACTCCTAGGCTGAGTGAGCCACCTCTCACTCCTAGCTCCCCGGCTGAGTTTCCTCACTCCCTGGCTGAGTCGCCTCACTCATTCCAGGCTGAGTCGCCTCACTTCTCTCAGGATGAGCCGCCTCACTCCTAGCTCTCCCAGGCTGAACTTCCTCATTGCGCTTCTAGTCTGAGTCACCTCACTCTCAGGCTGAGCCCCTCATTTCTCCCAGGTTGAACCACTGAACCGCCTCACTCCCCGGCTGAGCAGCCTCACTCCCTGGCTAAGCTGCCTCACTCCTCTCCGCAGTCAGCCTTGTCTCCGCTCAGTATTTACGATATCGGAACCTGGGCTCACGAATCATTTCTTTATAGCCTATTCCTATACGTAGTCTCTAGCGGAAGATAGCGTTCCAGTACGATCTTTTGCTTATAATCAGCTTTTTACGTTGCCACTATAGGAGACACAAGCAAGCATTATCGTCAGTATGGGCAGCGTGCTAATGCCAAGGTGACATTGGAACAAAGTAGCCAGTCGGCCGCTGTCGATCGCTTCTTTCCGCTTTGTGGCTTGTGTTCAGTGTGCTCTGGCAATTACGAAATCAATGCTGCTGGGATGCTTGTTTGTGATATGTTAAACTACCGTATGAAGATAGTAGACACAAATCCAATCCGCACATAAAGCGTAAACAATTCCTGAAATTTTGGAGCAGTTGACGGTGGGGAATCCTCTGGCTCTTATGAAAACAAGACGTCACCTACTACCTAGAAACTTCGCCAGCTTTATTTTTCTTCTCTCACAAAATGCAACATCTTGTCGACTCATCATCATTATAAGGAAAAATTTTTATGTCAGAATACGCCCAGTTTTACATACAGCTTGCGCTGCATCCCACTAATTTTCTCTTCCTGCAAAGCATATTCGTACGACATCGAATGGTTGCAGCTTTAGGTGGAAAGCAGCTTGTAGAAATTAATTTATAATTCATATCTTGCGGGAGCATGACTGGGAGATAACGTAAGAGTGCCATTAACGAATGGAACATTGTTCTTCTTCGTGTTCCGCCTTAATGAAATCAAAGCCTAAACTCAGTCCGGTGTTACCGAACTTTTACGACATGTAAATGAATAATTACTGTTCCGTATTTCCAGGCTGATCATGCCAGCTCTTATTATTTACGATTCTGTCTCGGATGGTTCTAAGAACAAATCGCCACAGCACGCTCGACATTTGCATATTTGTCGGCTGAAATAGCACTGCGGAGAGCCGATATATTTTGCAGCCACATAATTGCATCCCTTTGACCGGAGGCAGAGGCAGCCAGTGAAATATAAATCGAACCGCGGCGGCCGCTAATGAGGACGAATTTACGACTGCGGCGATCGTGGCGCGGCGCGGCGATCGGCGGCGCAATGCGTCATCGGTCTGCAGCTGATTTGCCACTCGGGCTAGGCCGGGGGACGATCGCTGACGGACGCGCCGAAAGTGATGACGGGGAGGGGTGGCGGGCAGACACAGCGACTAATATAGCATAAAAGTGCTAAGGGTGTCACAACAGGTAGTGTGAAACAAGAAGCTGCATAGCTGGAATAGGAAGGCATCATTCAGGCATCATTAGGTGATACCGCTTTGCCAGAAAACTGCGCGGCCATTCCGAGTTCGACGGGCGGGTTCACAGGGATGCCAGATCGTGCATGTCTGTCACACCGTCCATGTTCTAAAATTTCCGAGTCATTTTGTCATCATATGTCAGATAAGCCTGTCCTGTCTGCCCAAAAGGTGCTCACGACAGTCACTAGAGCCAGGCAATCGCTTTGTGTCTGCGATTCGGACAATGTTAGTAAAACGCATACACTGAAAACATTTTTACACCTGTTCCCGAAAAATAACTCCTGTCCTAAGTGTGAAGAATCAAATGACACCCGAATCACGAATCATCTGTTAAGTCTGATCAACTATGCATGGGTAAACGTAAGTGTTTGGGATAATACACTTTGCCTTAACACTGTGGTCCACGAAAAATACGTGCTCCGGGTGTCATCATGAACCTCGTTATAGATGATCAACACCGGTTTCGAGTCCCCCACAAATTGATCATCAGGGCAGGCATCAATAAAAGGGTAGGACCTTGGAATGCGTGTTATTTTTTCCCGCGCGACCGCCTTGGGCTGATCATGTAGCTCGCGAAACGCGTATCATTTTCCCGCGCGTCCGCCGGCGGCGGGTTGTTTGTCACTTTACTCGGGTGTAAGAAATTACAAACATTTGGCCTTGTCGCCATCTTTGCTGCATTTTGTGTGTTGCGGCGGACGCGTGGTATTGCCGGTTCTGGGCTGCATGGATTCGAAGAGGGCTGAGGTAAGGTGATAGGCATACATCTTTACAATAAGCATTTGGCCATTTGCAGTTACGGAAGGCGAATAAGGATGTGGAGGAAGGTAGAAACGCAGCAAGACGTCCTGCTGTCTGCTTCTGTCGGCATATGTGGCGCTGTCAATGATAACTGGTGAATTATCCATTTTATTTCCTATGTTACTCCGTTCTTTTCCTTGCTATTTTATAATTACAATATTTGCATAATGCATGGTTTAATGTGCCTATCCTAGAGTTCCGCATCACAAATGCTTTGTGTGCACCATTGATAATGTGATGCCTCATGGTTGTGAATGACAATGACAGTTGGTGACATACCAGGGAAATAAGCTAAAATTAGAGCGCTCTATTTATTGCTCCTGCCCCATGTTGAAGAGATACCCCTAAAAGCGTGATCTTTTATCGGCCCTTACGCAGCAAGGCAGTAATTCTCAGACCGGTGGATGGTATCAATAGAAAGAGAATGCGTCAAAGATTAACATGAATTAATTAAAATAACATTAAAATTTTAATTAAGCGTGGAAATTAGTCCCAAACATAAGCTAATTATTACTCCTACCTCGGCGACGGCGCTCCCCGCAGTCAGCGGAGAAGCCAAAATAAAAGCCACCATCCTCCTCCGTAAGTCAATTTTAGAGCGGCCGAGTGGGCCGATGCGGGGCCACCAAACTGAGGTGAGACGTGGCTAGCAATTGCAAACTGCCATAGAAATCAATATCTTAAGACGTACAATATGGGATGATTACTCTGAAGCTGGAGTGAAAGCATGAGTAGATTGCAAGAAACGAAATGCATAGATTGGTTGAATTATGTACAATAGGCACAGCTCAGATGAAGCCATTTCTTTGATGTTGACATTTGACATAACCCTTCCTCTCCTCACCTATGACTTAAGTACCTACGTTGGCAGTTACCGGCATAGTTTTTTAGCACGAGTGTAATTCGCCATCGGACCGCAATGCATGTTGCTAGGCTGCTGCAATTACAACGAACATACGAATACTGCCTTCATTTGTAGGCGTTTGTTTTTTAGGCGGTCTTTGACGTACAAGGGGGCATACCTGTCGACAACTCGAGTTTCTCCGAATTTCAAAAACTCCCAGAATTTCAATTCCTTATGCACTGTTGTAGGTACAGCTATGTTCACAAGTTTTCGTTTCCTCCTGCTCTAAAAAGGATGATATTTGTCGATTTCGTGCGTCGCTGATAGAAGGGTGCGTTTAATAATTAGGCCCAACGCTCTCTGCATCCGCGAGTACCTTGAAAAGGGAACAACAGTTTCCATTTATTACACTATGGGACGAGTGACAAAATGACCACTGCAACACGCATGAAACGGAGCTCATATTCCTAAAAATGTCTACAATCACTTCTTTTCTGACACTATTAGCAAATACCATCTCAAGTTAGGTGGTTGACAGTCAATGGAGATCTGGGGAGACTGAGTGATGCCAATTCACCACTTAACTGATAATGAGGGCCGAGGGAAGAGAAACATGCAACATGCACAACTGACAACTTGACAAGTGACAAAACACTACCACTATTGCGCAGTGCACAATAAATTACAGCAGCCAGCCCAAAAAATGCTTTTGGTGGCTAATTGCAAAACAAGTCACTAATAAATGTCTTAGTTGCAGCTGAACACTGCACAATGATCACACTGTTCACACATTGAGTGAGATGCCACAGGTGGTTTGAATCACACTTTGGTACAACCGCAAATCTGAAGTGTTGTCATGAGGTTCATGCCTCCATGATCACAGCACTTTGGTTGTGGTTGGCATAACACTTGTAGTCTGCAGAGTTCCACATGAACTGCAGACACCTCATCTGGTGGTCTTCATGTTGCTCAACTTCTTCAGGAGGCAAATGTCGACAACCCAGCGGAAGCATGGTCCTGCAGAAAAGAAAGGTAATGCATAAGGTACAAACATTATCTGCTGAAACAGCCCCTTCTGTTTGCTGTTATTAAACTTTTAACATAACAACATGTATTCCATGTATATTACATTTGTTGAAGTAAAATACTGCCAGCTATTTCAAAACCAGAAAATGAAATTATATTGTGGCATAATTCACATGCTCAGCTATCAGTATCAAATAATAAATTAATTTAAAATTAGGCATATTCTATATAACACATTCATAGAATATTCTACTTCACGTCACAAGGACTCACAATCTATCTGTTGGGTGTTTGATTGACGCATTAACTAAGTTTGTCTTAGGTTTTATTATTGCAAAAAATTCATATTGCATTATTGTATCAAAATACTGCCAGCAATAACAAAACAAGAACATGAAATGTCAATGAGCAAGACGCCTTTCCTAAAAATGGATTACTTTGAAAATAATTTTAGTTTCTTTTAAGGAAAAGGAGAAATGATTATCAGGTAATTATCAAAACCACTCAACCAGCAAGTGGCTGGGTGGTTTCACAGCAAACATCAAGCCAAAACATATGCTTACATTTATCTAACAATTGAGCCATTTGACTACACAAGTATATGTGAGCAAAATAAGAATCCAATTATCCAATGTTGACTTCCTTGCAAAGTTTATGCCTTATTTTATGAAAATGTGTCACTAGAATATGATACGTATCATCGAATATTATTTAATTTACGATTTATTTCGATCGGAACGCACATGGAGTTCCGCGCCATTTTCGTCGACGATAAATATGATCGTGTTTCATGAAGAGATAAGGGGTTTCAATGGTCTTTCAAAGCAATAATTTGATGCAAAAATTTGTAGGAAATAATATAAAGCTGGTTCAAATGGCCATCAACCACTTAAAACACCGAAAATACTCACAACTCCGTCCCGACGACCACGCAGCTCCGCGCACGCCGTCTACTGGCATAATGCCAAAACTGCTGTCACAGCAGAAATGTTTTTTTTTCTCGATTGCAATTGTGGAATTATTTATTAAACAGAAGATGATCTTTCCGAAAAACCGACTGATTTCATACACAGATGCATGGAAAATAAAAAATCCCGGTAAGTTTATTTGTATTGTTTTGTCGATTTTGACATGCTCCTAGTTTGCAGCCATATTTCGATATGTTCTACAGGGACTTCAGAATTATTTCAGGACCAATCTTTTCCTCATTCATTTTCCCGTCGATCATGAAATTTTTAGAGCGGAACAATTAGTTTCCAGGCGGTCCGAGCGGTTTTCGTGAGAAGGGTGCAAAAATCGGCGTCATTTTTAGAGCCTCGACACCAGCTCAACACAGGACCCTATGGGAGACGGTGAAGTAGCGGGAGCAATAAATAGAGCGCTCTAATTTTAGCTTATTTCCCTGGTGTGTCACCGACTGATGAGGGACGATAAAGCACAGAAGGAAATAGTTAAATAGCCATTTTAATGGTTATAATTGACTGAATCCAATTCATGTGCCTACGTATGGATTGGATTTTAGATTTCAATTTATCAGTACATGGATTTGGATTATTTGAGGTGAGACGTGCAGAATGTTCATACCTACCTTCAAGGGCGGAGAATTGTTGGGGGTGCATTTCTTGTTTGAATGTATAATTTTCTGCATTCAGGATGGTTATCGGGATAACAAAGGCCACTTGGCCTGGTGGACCTATTCTCACCGAGCTCTTAGCTGGTTGGACTAGTGTGGCTCTAAGGGATAGGGAGTGTTGTACATGACCGTCTTCCAGTGGCGGTCTAGTCGGGCCTTGAACTGGTTGAGGGTTTCGGCACACACATGGTCTCAGTCTGGGAGTGTGATCCAGTTGTTGACTACTCACACACTCAACATGTTCCACTGAACGAGTGTCCGCACCCTGCGTTTCTTGAACTTCCACTTGTGCCCTCTCGTTCTTGTCGAGTCGTGCCTTGTCAGGATCTCAGCAACCAGCACAGGGGCGTAGGAGCCACAGGGGGGGCATGTGCCCCCCCCCCAACCGCAGAGCCGTGGGGCATTGCCCCCATAACTTCACGGTAAAAAGATGCATTTCGAGACAAAAATGGCATGGCATTGCACCTTGCGATGCGAGCCAGCGTCCCTACGTTCAGTAAAGCACATTTCCGTCTAATGAAGGAGCCTTTTGGGCAGGTAGGACACCTTTTCTCATCACTGGCGCACTAGCAGACCGAATTTTGCCCCCACAGCTGAAAGCAAGTTCCTACGCCCCTGAACCAGCAGGTCGTAGAGCAGGTGTCCTGACCTAGAGCAGGTTTATTAGTTATTACTCATTGTTTACCTAAAATCCTACTAAGTTAATCTAAATTAGGTACGTACTCCCTTCTCATCTAAAGCAGCTAAAGTAATTTGGTGGGGTACCTAATGAGGAGTTTAGGTGAGCCAAAGAAATATATCCAGTAACAACATTGGCGGATCTAGCTAGTGACTAAGGGAGGGGCCAAAACGGGCCAAAGTAGGGGCCTTATACATGTAGCAATATACCTAAAGCATTGGGTTCGGTTTGCAAAGGGAGGGGTCAAATCCCACTTTGGCCCCGCCACTGCTGGATTTTGGCCCGTTGCCCCCTGGATCCGCTAGTGAGTAACAATCTATATCTGTAAGAAGCTTGAGTTTGAGGGCTTCGGGTACCTGATTGCAAAATCAGGAACACCCACAGACACAGCCAAAATCCAGACAGCCAACTTTCAATTGGCTGTCTGGCACTGGGAGCAAATGGTCATTTTTTATGCATCCAAGGTCCTGGATGACAAATCAATATTTTGATGCAAAGTGGGGGGGGGGGGGGGGCTTGTCATAGGCATCTTGGTTAAAGGGACCCTCCCACCTTCTAAAATGTTATTAAAACCAGTTAAATTGTGCCCGACTTTATAGATTGGATGCCCAGGAACATGGTTCTGGCATTTATTTTTCATTAAACATCTCAGGCTTCCCATATCCCAAACACAAACTTTCAAATATGTGAGTCACAGCCTAAAATTCTCCCTTCCCCAGGCCACATTACTGTCATAAAGCTGATTCTTTTTAATCTGTAGGCACCACAGCAAAGCTCAGACCAAGTTTTAATTGATTTTCCACGAACAAGCCCATCTAAATCAGAATGACTAAATGAGGTGACGTCACACTAACGGTCGCTCCGTGTTGAAGATAGGACCTTAGCTAAGGTCTTTTTTTGAAGCATCAGATGGAGTTTTCTCCTAAACTATGGAACTGTGGGAGTTCAAGACAATTTTTTCTGCCTTTTTGCCAGATTGTCCTCAACTTGGCTATCCCAACTCAAACCCCATGTTTAGGTGGGAGGTCCCTTTAAGGATCAAAATATTGACTCACTTTTCAGACAGCTTTGTATTTCAGGTAGATGGGTGCCACAGAAGCTTCCTGGTTGACAACTCCAATATTACCATTCAACGCGCAATCGTCCACTCCACACAATTTTCTTGATCCAAACTTTTGAGCAAATGAAATGGATGGCTGTGATGAGCATCGTTATATATACTATGTAATACGAGAAGTAGTAGCCTTTGCTCATATTAATGTTCAAATAATGCACAAAATTGGATATATTAAAATAATACTGATATTTCGCCTTGCGGCATCATCAGAGTACACACATACAACTTTAGGTTTAACAAAATGCAAGAAAGAAAGAGACACGTGCGACTTTACCACGGGAACAAACGCCAGCCGATAGTCTGACTAACGGCTGGCGTTTGTTCCCGTGGTAAAGTCGCACGTGTCTCTTTCTTTCTTGCATTTTGTTAAACCTAAAGTTGTATGTGTGTACTCTGATGATGCCGCAAGGCGAAATATCAGTATTATTTTAATATATCCAATTTTGTGCATTATTTGAACATTAATATGAGCAAAGGCTACTACTTCTCGTATTACATCCAAACTTTTGGGTCAACTTTGGAGTTTTCGGTTTTTGATTTATCATGTTTTTGTTTTGTTTCACAATTTTTCCCGTTTTTGAGTTACTGATTCTGTGTTTTTTTTTTACTGATTCTAGTGCATCATTATATTGTATTGGTGAAAACAAGGCAAGGCGCATATTTCAGGTGCAAAAAAAAAACGTTGCAGTACAACATGTAATGATGTAACACCGAACAGCCAGTCTCAGCGCTCTCTGGAATGGGGGGAGGGGTCAAATAGAAGCCTAACAGGTGTCTTAAAACGTATGATCTTGTAGACCTTCACATGCGCATTGTTTAACGAGACATGCTGATAGATTGAAATAGACTTTGCATTATTTTGTTTTCCATAGGTCCGAGAGAAATTCCATAAGCAACACAAGGTCATGAAGTTACATTATAGTCATTCTTCTGCTACAAATATCTAGTCATATGGATTGATGGAAGAAAATCCCATGTAACTAATCACCTACGCTTTATATTTATATTAACGTTTTTTTTTTTAAAGAATACACAACTGATTGCAGTTTATGTGACCAAGTGGAACACCAACCATTGGCATGCTATTTTTGTCTTTCGCAGAACGCTACCCGTCAACTGATCATCAATAAATTCAAGAACAAACGACGTGGAGACGACTCCAAAGAGGTCACCGACAGAAAACGGCGGCGCTCCGGTGTACTGAACTATCTGCCAGCGGACAAGGAGGACGAGGGATGCGGTGACCTGCGCTACAAACTCCGGCAAGGCATGCTGCGTGGAGCTGAGGTAAGAATTCATACTATGATGGTTCTAATTTTAGTTATAAGTTCAGTGCCATCAACTGCGCCATGTGGTTTAGCCCCGTAATGAGAGGGGGTGGTTAAATAGACTATTTCGATTTGAAAAGCATCCATCTGGGGATGTTAACTTCAGACACTTCTAAGAAACTTTCCAACACATCTTATTTTCCGATCTTCCAGAAAGAACTACCATGGCTACAAATGACTTATCATGTTTCATGCCGCCTGGCCCGGCCCGACGGTGCCGGAAGGGCGGCCGGCCGGCCGACCGTCAGCTGAAATTTAAATTCATTGTCGAATTTCGTTCACTTTATTACTAGAGGGCCTCACAAATAGACCAAAAGTGATATGTATCGATTCTAAAGAGCCTGGCATCGGAAAGAAAGCGTCCTCAATCGTCAAGGGAACCACGCATAATCCGGCCAAAGGGAGCCTACCATGAATTATCGGGAAAAAACTGATACTTTCCGTCATTGTCTGGCAGTATGAGACAACTCCCTTCCCCCTGCCCCCTCACCCCGGTGGCACTCCCACCAACCGGTGCAGTCAATGCAAAAACGTATTTACGGTGCAGCGCCGGCGTCCACCGCCCGCTCGGCAAAAGGCGACTATCACCCGCTCGGCAAAAGGCGACTATCAGCTGACGATCGGCCGGCCGGCCGCCCTTACGGCACCGTTGGGCCGGGCCAGGCGGCATGAAACATGAGGCCATGGTAGTTCTTTCTGGAAGATTGGAACATAAGATACATAGGCGTTGCCAGACTTTTTAGGTTGGGGGGGGGGGGAAATAAACCCACCTACCCCCTAAATTAAGTTTCTCCTCGGATTTCGGCCACTTAATTTCGAAAATGTTGGAAAATACAAAAAAACAATCGGGACAAAACAGGTGTCTTTCTTCACCAGTTTTTGCTCAGAAATCCACTGGTGCCATTTATTTTTCCATTCGACCCCTAGAAGTCCCCAAAATTGCATTTGAAAATCTGACGTCATATTTTAGGATGATTTTGGAGATTAAAACGGGTCATTTGGGGATCAGATATAGAGCTATCGATTTGAAATTTGATGTTTGACACAATAGAGGTGTATAACATATATTCCGATTCCTGAAATTTTTGGATTTTATTGGCATTTTCTTCTTTTTTTGGGGGGGGGGGACAAAATAAAAAAAGTAAAAAATCGGAGGTAGCCATGTTGTAGGGCTAGCAATTCTACATTTACGCTATTTTCGTTTGCAATTCCATTTCTAAATGTGACTTTGAGAGACTCTCAAACAAATGCCGGATTTCGTCTAAAAATCGAGCAACATGACGTCGGAAATTGGCTTTATCTAAAAAATTGTCAACGAATTAGAAAAAAAAACAAATATCCATCATGTGCGCAATGGTTCCATAAGAAAATCAAGTTTCAACTCGATATCTCCAGGCGTTTGGCCATGGCACACAAAAACCTGGGGGGGGGGCTTCTCAGCCCCCCCCCCCTCCCCCCCCGCCAGGAATAGGATTAACCGCACTGTCTCCTCGAACTGTCTATCTGTCTCCTCGATCCTTATAAATTTATCGTCGTCTCAATCATTGTGGTGAAACAAATGCAGCTGTCGGAGGTATTCTATGTCTACCGTATGTTGGATATGGAACGACACCTAGTATGTACCCTACAGTGCTGAAATGGCCTACATTTTGGCCGAAATTGCGTCTTTCTATCAAAATAGCAAAACACAAACACGCCACTAATAAAATAATTATTCCAAAACCAAGATCCAGTGGTACCGAACAGTTAACTTTGATTTTGAAATCACAAACTTGTTTTCTGACGATACCCTCCCAGTCCGCATCCATCTCCTGCAATCCACAAAGGCTGTCACAAAACTACTTCGTGCATTCTTGCAAAGCGTTTTCCTGTGACAGAAAGGTAAGCTGGCGATCACTGGTTTATATTGGTGAAATGGGTCTTTTTACTCCCACAGCTTGATGAAGCGATGTCGAAGACGTTTGCGGACAGAAGGATCCTGGTGGTGACGAAGAGGCTATCCGTACCCAAGCTGAAGAAGCTCTACCCTGCCCTCTTTCAGGAAATGGAGGTATGTCTCTCGCCCTCTCGCTCTCATTCTCGCTCACTTGGTAGTGGTTGTGCTTATGCTACATCGTGCCACGCTTTGTTTTGTAGTGTTCATGAAATTTATGGTTTTATCATCTCTTAGATGTTGGGAGTGAAACTTCCTACCAGGGTTTTGCTCCACCCACCCATGAGTCGAGTCAAATTTGACTCGACTCTAACTCAAATGAGTCGAGTCGGAGTTGAGTCCAGTGTCAGAAAAGTGATCCCTTTCTATTTTTTCCGAACTTGGAAGTTTTGTTCCGTCAAAAAGTTCTACTGTAAAGAATGACAAGTTTTATTCTGCGAGTATCAAAGTTGATAATGAATCAAAGTCATATAATGAAACAAAGTATGTAGCATGCTAATTGATAGTTATCCACGGGCTACCCATAAACGTTTGCTATTTTCACTTCCTCGTTTCTTAGATGGTGTCGACTTATTTCATTGGTAACTCTAGATTTTATTTCCATGTCATATAATAAAGACGTATTTATTTGTTGCAGATCTGGGCGGAGCTTGCCCGAATCAGGGGCGGTGGATCGACCAAGGAGAATGAGCTGGAGAGGGCGCGTGAGAACCTTTCCAAGGTGCTCACAAAGTTCCAAGTCTGTGAAACGAATGGTACGTTATTGTGAATTTACGGTTAACAATTTCGTGGATCTCGAGTCAAAAGTGCATTTTAGTGCCAGTGTTCTTCTAGTTCGGCTACTTGCCTCTTCCATCGCCGTACTTCAAATTTGAAGTTTGACTCTAGGCTTATACAAAGACTTGCCCAAGAGGTACCTACATGGTCGTTTGTCCATTTCCCCTTTTTCTCCCGCACCTATTAACGCAGTCAGAGCCCACTGGAAAGACAATCGGACAAAGTTTATTAACGGATCTACGTTAGCCATATTTGGGGTATCTATAAAGATTGGATGGTGGTTGGTGGCGCTTTGGCTCCCTCATTGCATGATAATGTTCTTACCAGTTTTTAGTTTGTGGTAGGATAATGAAAAATATAAACGAAACGTCGGATTGTCTTTTGAAAAAAAAACGAGCTATTGTGTGTGCAGTTTGTATTTTACGGCATGACAGTGTTGCATTGGTAACTGACATGCGTGTCTATGTGTGTCTGTGTGTTTTAGAAGCTGCGCTGGAGCATGTCCTCATCGAACTTCGCGAGGAAGACGCTCTTTACGCGGCACCGACGGCCGGAGGTCCAATGGTTATATGGCGTGATGTCCTCTGGGTCGAGGGAGAGAAGGTAGCTGAATTTGAGATACTGAACAAGATCGACCAGTTCCTCACATGGGGTGCTGCGTTCTCGGTGTTCGCTCAAAAGCCGACCAAGAAAAGCACGCGGTGCTCCGCATACCTGGCAACCGTTATGGTTCTCCAAACAGACGTGCTGAAGCCCCCGAAAGGCCTGGAGCGTATCACTCAGTAAGCGTCAAGCTCAGTAGATTCGTGTCGCCTGACTGTCCATCTGAGGCCCGACTGAGTCGGGTAAGACTTACCTTTTTCCGTCTTGCGGAACTTCTTCACTGTCAGTGGGCCGAGATAGTCGTGTGTTGAAAGGTCGTCTCATGTCGACTCTCGCCTCTGGCAGGTCAGCCATCCTGGGTAGCTGAGGGGTGGCTCTGCGGTTGCGGCAGAACGCACACTTCTGTTGACACACTTCTGTTCACACTTCTGTTGACACGAAATGACAACAGATGTGCTGTCATTTCGGTTTGTGTCGTGTTTTTTTTTTTTTTTAATAAAGTCGTTCGCCAAAAACAGTTGTTTTCTCAAGGGTGTGCAGTTACACTCATTACGCGGGGAGCCGTGGGACGGGTGTTGGAAAGTACCCGCGGGAGAGGTGTTTAAGCGCAGGTGTAACCCACAACGCAGGTGTAGACAGTAGGTGCTTAAATTCGATGCCGGTGTAGACAGTAGGTGTTGATACTCGATGCGGGTGTAAACAGTGGGCGTTGATACTCGATGGGGGTGTAAGCAGTGGGCGTTGATACTCGATGGGGGTGTAAACAGTGGGTGTTAATACTTAATGCGGGTGTAAACATCGAGCGTTGATACTCGATGCGCGTGTAAACATTGGGTGTTGATACCTGATGCAGGTGTTCGATGACGCCTTGATGAAGGGTTAGTTGACACCTGTTCAGATGCTTAAAAATGGAACCTGATCAACGACACCTGTTCCGCGGGTTTACACTCGGGACAGGTGTAAAAATGTTTTCAGTGTAGGCAACAATCATTCCATTCAGATGAAAATCATTTTGATGGGCGTTGGGTTTCCGGGAAAGTAATGCGAGACTCGATGTCTCCTCCCTTTTTGTAACGGCGCCATGCGTGCCGCACCCAGCCCAGCCCACTGCTCCGGGCACCTGGGACGCCTCTCCCGCCGCCCCCGCGCCCTGCGCACATATCATCAATAACGGGCGCTTTTATTAAGACGGCATCGACGCGCCACTTGATGTGCGACGCGGGACACAATTTACATGCGATAGATGGGAGCGTCGCGATTTATCATAGGCGCGTTACCATTACGGCGGTATCCCGGGGCCATTTTTCACCGTTACCCGGGGCACCAATGACAAGCGTGCCAAAAACAACCCAAATGCGACACTCAACAGTCATATGTGGATGTCGAAAAGCGTGATTTGTTAACACTTCAAAATTGTGACCTGTGAAACAACTGTGGTTAATGCTCTGTTCGCCGAACAGCGAGTTTAAGGAGTCGGGTTTGGGTGGTGGTTATGTCGTGAGTAATGACAAAATTAATCGACATGAGAATCTGGCTGGCGGCGTGGCGTGTACCATGCCGCTGCACTCGGACCTTTTATGATATGCAAATTACCTGTGGCAATTATCGCGGCGCCGTGTGCCGCCGGTAGAAACATATCACAAGTAGTTTCAGCAGTCCCCAACGTGCGCTGAATTATTTCCGCTTCAACTTCCCAGCAATTCAGCAGCGCATGACGCCCTGAGGCTAGACCAACCCTGCGGGGCCACCCAGCGCCGCCCCGGGCCCCTGCCGCCGACGCGACGTCGCAGCGGAAAGACACTGCATCTCTTCGCCTCTCAGACACAAAAAGTTCGACAGTTGCGATGTTCGTAAATGGATTTTTAATGAACGTCGAACGGGGCCCGCAAAGTTCCACTTGTCAGCGGACCGATCAGCAGGAAACCGTCACGGGAACAAAAGTAAAACGCCGAGACTCAGACGATGTTATGACTACGCCGGATTGATCCCCAGGGCGGAATAGCAGTACTGATATCACAACTGTCAACTGTGTGGATAACCCCGTGGTGAGGCTGCGCAGACACCTCATCAGAATTAATTCATAGCGTCATTTACAAGCCGCGAACCATCCCACTAAAAAAAAAACTCATCACACGAGCGTCACAAACGTGACATGTCCGGACAGGGGCGCATCACAAAAGTGACACCTCCGGACAGCCCGGGCGTCACGCGACCGGGACTTTCTTGCTCAGCCCGACACCGCGTCATCCGGCGGTGGTAGCCGCGGCGGCGGCGGGGCCGATTAATTTCGGTAATGAGCGCCGCGGCTGGCGGCCACTGGGAAAGGTCGCCGTGGTGTCAGTCAGCCGGCGGCCGGCGGCGTCACTGGCTGTGCCGGAAGCAGCGGTCAGCGGCGGCCTGTGTAATGGCGCCGGGCCGACTGGACGGCTCGCCAGTTCACAGCACGGCACCGCGCGCAGCTCCCACACGACCTGTGACCCGGCCCTCTGTGAAAAGTGACCCGGCGATGGTGTGAAAAGTGACCCGGTCAGGTATGATGGGGTGACCTGGCGACGTGACGTGCTCAACTGGTAATTAAAACGCGATATTTCCGCGGCGGCAACATTTCCACATCATGTTTTGAAAGTGGTACATCCTCCGTAGCATAACTATAGAGCTGTCACCGAGTCGGTGAAAAATAAAGCTAGAGAGGAGATTGCTGTGAATAAGCAATCCGTTATTTATTTTACAATAACGTACTTTTTTCGCGGATCTTCGCTCGCTCGCTGGATAGAACCTTTGACAATGGCCTGATATTTATCAGACTTGAAGGTAGCTGACAGTGTTGTATGTGGCTGCAAAGACGGCCTCTCTGCACTATCCCACACACTGGGCTACTATCCGCAGCTATGCACCACTCGTCTCGCTCTCAGTCCGGCCATGCCGTGCGACTCAGAACATCGGGCATCTCCAGGCGGGGTCGTTCCAGGTGCTGGGTCTCTCCAGGTCGGTCGTTCCAGGCGCCGGGTCTCTCCAGGTCGGTCGTTCCAGGTGCCGGGCCTCTCCAGGCCGGTCGTTCCAGGTACCGGGTCCCTCCAGGCCGGTCGTTCCAGGCGCGACGGTGACAGAGCGCCAGGTCGCCGCCATCTGGCCCGCTGCATCCATCATCGTCGCCGGCTATCGCCATCACGCCGCGCCGATATGACAGTCACCTATCAGAGCATCGCGCCGCGGCGGCGTCTCAGTCAACAAACGCTTCGTTAGAGCTGGCAGCACGACGGCCGCGCGGCACGTCTCCATCATAGAGGCCATCAATCGGACAACGATTGCCATCAAGCGCCAATCCCCGATTGGATCAGCCGGCAAAAACACCAACAAAGAACACACCAATAAGGCCAATAAATCGGGCCGGCCGTGGTGTCTGCAGTCTGCCCCATCCTGTGTTAATCACCGACGACCGACGGCCGGCGGCGGACAGCGACGGACGGCAGCAGAGAGCCGCCGCGCGCGAGGAGCCCTCTCCCCTGCGCCGCGCCCCTGCCGGCGCCGCGCCGACTATTGACACCCTGCTCATTGCTATTCCCATCAACTGTCCACCTCCCTCGTGCTCATTATTACTTCTTTCTTCTCCCATTTATCGGCGTTTCTATCATTGTTTCTATCTGCGGGGCGGCGGGGTCCGGCCGGCGGTGGATGGGGGCGCGACGCTCCCGGTAATGCCGCCGCACAGCCGACATGGGACTGAGATTGGCATGTCGTGTCGCGGCTTCCCGACCGCTCCCGGCTGAGGGGCGCTCGCCGGCCGGCATACAGCGCGCGCTTTGTCCGCCCGTCTGAGCCGGTATTGGCTCGGCGGCGACGTTAGTGGCGCTCCGGCGGCGTTCTCGGCGCCGTGACTGGTCGTCTGACGACCGGGAGCCGGCCGTTTCGGCTCTGGTGGCGTGGGAACGCCGGTGACCTGGCGCTGATGACGGCTCGTCCGACTCAATAGGTGCTTCCAGCACACACGCATCCCGTCCGCCCTCGGCACACAGAGCTCCGCGCCGTCGCCGTCACTCCTCACAAGGGCGAGAATGCCACCCACTTGAAAACGGAGCGGTCTCTTCAGCAGATGACAGTATCACGCCGCTTCCATCTAGCCAGCGTTTCACGCAAAAAGCTCTGGTATGCGGTCACACTCGCATGTTTTCGGCGCCGGCCGAGCGCGTTTTTATCCATCCGGCACGATGTCAGGCGTGTTTTCTGGTGTAATAATCCTCCGCGCCCTACAGCCCACAAAATATGCTGACGGAATATGGACAGCCGTGCTAAGCCGCTCACGTCAAACAACGAGTCCAGCGGGATTCATTACCTGCAACTTGGCCATCATGCCTGTTACATCCGCACGTAAGATTCATTCTGCTTTGACACGAAATTATTCTTGTAATCACAGCGCGCAAACATTCCGACGAAACAACAGACATCAGGCAATCATAGGTCTTGTGGCGACTGTCCACGACACGAATATTACTGGCCTGACACGCTTCAGGGAGGCCTTAGGCTGGAACGCCCCGTCCTCAACGCATACTAGTGCGCGGTCGCCACTGGAATGTGCGTCACTTTCGCCGTTCGGCGCGCCGCAGAACGCCGCAGAACGTCGCTCGCGGCGGCGCGGCGCGGTCAGAGCCCGGCCCGAAATCACCGTCCCAAATGACACCCCGCTAATTAAGTGGAGCCGTGTGCGTCGCACGTCCAGAGCTGGGGTCACGGTGGGTCAGTCTCACCGCCCTAATGACCGGTGACACAGGGCTATTCGGAGAGCGACGCGCGACCGGCCGTGAGTTGTGAAGTGGGAGCGTTGGAGCTGGTGTTAGATGCAAGTCTCACTGGAAGCAGCCCGAGTGTTGAAGTTATGAGTCAAATACAGCAGTCTAAGAGTTGGAAACTCGTTAACATGACCATAATGCATTGGCTTCCGCCTTCTTTCAATTTCATGTATTGCGGAACAGCATAAATGCAGGCGTTAACAACTATAGTTCGTTTTTTTTTTTCAAAAGGACGCTGGCTCCAAGCATGTTTTTCGAACAAGCACGTGTTTTAGCGAGCAAAATGAGCAAAAACTGAACCTGAGAAAATCGAACGTCGACTAATCTTAACATGTGATTTCTTCCCGATAATTTCCATATGTGCGTTTTGGAACCAGATATGAGAATAGTGGTGACGTCATGCTGTCGAACATGTATTGCAATGTAACGTATAACTATCATGGACGGAACTGCTTACTCGATTATAAGCTCGGCAACAGTGAAAAACTAAGTTTCACCCAAATTCGTTGACACTTGTCCCATTGCACGGACATTTGGGTGCCTGCTGACACCAGTGACGTCATCATAGCATGTTCATTTTTAAGAAACAATTTTCAGCTACTTACCGTGCACAATTTGAAATCGATTATTTTTTC